CAACATATTCCTTTTTAGACATGTGACTAGTGATCTTAGCAAAGCATGACCTTGTAAAGGTCAGAAAATGTGTGCAAGTTTGCAGACTAACCACAGACCTCTACAAATCGCAAGAAGCTTATGCAAAGCTGTTGTCTTCATATTTCTTTGTACCATTCCTCATTATTTTTAGAAATGTCTGCCTTAGCCAACACAGAGATTATTCTGCATTTTAATTTGCAATTGTTTTCACGTGTACTCTAATTAGTACAAGGTCAAAAGGAAGGCTTTTGAAAGGAGGTATGAGGTCTTTGTTGTCACCAGATGACAGCGTGTTGAACAGTTACCAAAATGCCATGGCAGAATAAAAGAGGGATTTTGCTTTTTGTTTTGCTCCTTAACATGAATTGCTGAGCATTCAGGATTTCTTTGGATCAGGGCTCAGTCATCACTTTCAGAGTGAAGAAATGACTCCTTGACAGGAAAGGGCAAATTAGATTCTTGTTTTCCTTCAATTGTATGAACATTTACAGTGGTCTAAACTATCCCCATTGTAGTTTAAACCGACAGGAAGGGGCTCTTGAGAAGGAAATCGTTGTGAGAAAATACCCTCACACAACTTCTTAGGGGTTTTATGGGGTTTTTTTCCACCAAGGGACAGGCTTTCTCTCCAGGGCCTATGCCACAGGTTGTGTCTCCAAACCCTACGCTGGGAAGAAGTCCTTTAAGCTGTCCGTCAGCTTTCCATCCAACATGGTTGCAGTATAATTTCCCTGCAGACTAGCTATGGGAGGTTGGGATGTCTCCTTACCCTTGCAGGTCTGAGGGGAAAACAGAGGAGGGTCACAGGGGGAAGGTAGGTTGATGGGGTTAACCTGAAGCCCTTCCCTCCCCTGTGGGATAAAAAAACACAGGGAACAGAGATCCTGCAAATCAGTGGGAGAGAACATGAGGCAATGTGACCAGCAACTACTCAGCGTTTGGTTCCACTTAGGAGCCATTTGTGCACTTCTTTAGGAAATTTTAGATGAAACTTTGCAGGCCTAGCTTAAAGAAGCTTCTCATGAGTTTCAGTGTGTTTGCCTGAGAACTATGGTACGTGGCAAGAGATCATAATAAAGTGAAAGATTTTTCAATGTTTTCTGTATCCAAGTGGTTTTTGTATTTTGCAATTATCCTGCTTTGGGCTGAGATGATAGAGTTAATTTTCCTCCCAGTAGCTGCTGTGGTTTGGATTTAGTACAAAAAGAATGTTGATAACACGGATATTTTTAGTTGCTGCTATGAATCAAGTTTTTTTTCCAGTTTCTCATATCTGGCTAATGAGCAGGTGTGCAGGAGCTGGGAGGGAGCATAGCCAGACACCCAGCCAATGGAAATATTCCATACCATAAACGTCATGCTCAGTTTATGAATGGGTTGACCAGGGGAGGAGGCTATTGTTTTTTTGATTTTCCAGGAGTTCAAATCCTCTCTTGTCTGGGAACTTGAACTTTTTCAGGAATTTCATGAAATTCGTGAAAATCCAGGGGGTCGATGATCTCTGCTTGGGGGCTGGCTACGGATCGGTTGTAGGGTGGTGAGAAAAACTGCATTGTATATAGTTTATTTTGCATATTCATTATAATCATTATTATTATCATTACTATTATAAGTATTAGGAGTAGTATTAGTATTTCCTTTGTTGCCTTATTAAACTGTCTTTGACTCAACCCACGAGTTTTCCCTTTTGTCCATTTCTCCTCCTCATCCTGCTGGGTTAGAAGGGGAGGGATGAGCGAGCAGCTGACTAGTGCTTAGTTACCAGCTGCTGGCTTAAACTACGAAAGTAATACATAATCAGTTTGTGGTGAATAGATGAATGAATTTTTTCTTCTGTTTTTTTTTCTTTTTGTCCTGCAAAAAGATTTAAAATCATGCTGGAGCAATGAAATCTCCTGCTTTTGTTTAAAATAATGGCACTGTCGCTAGTTTTGAAATATTGAGGACCAGTCAGGTCCTGGAGGATTTTCTTATGTCTTATTTGGACAAAGCTCCTCCTTAAACAAATGCATTCACTAAAAACACAGAAAAAACATTTGAGACTTGGTATTAAAAAATTAAAAAACAGATTTTCATTAGAAGTTGTTTGACAGAGGTACATGTGGGAACCCAGGATCCCTGGATGAAGTTCAACAAGTGTCAGTAAAGACATCACCATTTCCTGGAAGCTGAATTTGGTGATCGCAATCTGATTACCTGTATCTTCAACTGCCTGTGTCTCAGATAAAACCAATATTGTTGTTGAACTACTGCATGCCAAAGTCAAGGGATAATGGCAGCTGAGCCTGACTTGTACCTTGTGGGAGCCAATAGGAAATACATCAAGCAGCTCAAAAGTGACCCTGTCACAAGTCTCAAGCCATTAGGTGCTGGTGTCCTCCAAGGATAGATCAGAGCCAGTCAAGCTACCTTGAGTGTGGTGGTAAATGAAGTGAGCCATCTTTGCTCAGGGACCACACTTTGCCTGGAAGCCAACTGGCACAGCACAGCTATAGGGTGAGCTAGATTGCCTTACTCTCCAAACAGTGTGGTTGCACCCAGAATGCCTTTTGGGAGTGATCCATGTCCTGTGCTAATTTCCAGCTGTAGCTGCGCATTGTCTGGAAGCCTTTGACAGGCTCTTTCTGAGTTCAGGCCAAAACGCTGCCAGACCTGTGCAGAGACAGCTGGAGAATTACAGCCTTGTTCCTGGTTCTGGCCGTGCTCCTATTTCTGAAGCAAATTCATTTTGCTCTTCAGCTGTACTAACCAGTGTGCAGAACGAGATCACCGACCTTCTGACTCGTCCCTGCACTCTTCCAACTCACATATGCAAGACAAAGCATTAGAACCCCAGAAGGAGCAGCACTCACTCTCTTACCCAGTAGGCATGACACATGTTGGAAAACCATGGGGAACATTTCAGTAGTGCACGGTTTTTCTGCAGGCTCTACTGTGCCATCTCCATCGTGGCAGTGACACTGCAGACTGACTTTTCACGCTTTATTCCCAGGAAGCTTCAAGACACGTTAGTGAGACACTATGGAGAAGGCTTTACGTTGGCAGCCCAGTCTGTGCATCGTGGCTGAAGGTGATTCCAGGCCCTACATTCCCCTAGTGTCCATGAGCACTAAAGCCAGAAAGAAACTTAAGAGAATAAAACCCTTTTTCTTTTTTTATGGTACAAATAACTGTGACTAAGTGTTGTGGTTTAACCCCAGCTGGCAACTAAGCACCACACAGCCACTTGCTCATTCCCTCACAGTGGGATGGGGGAGAGAATTAAAAAAAAGTAAAACCCATGGGCTGGGATAAAGACAGTTTAATAATCAGCAAAGGAAGAGAAAATAATAGTAGTAATAACAATAAAAGAATACGAAAAACAAGTGATGCACAATGCAATTGCTCACCACCTGCTGACCAATGCACATCCCATCGCTGAGCAGCGATCCCAGCCCCCTGGCCAACTCCACCGAGTTTATATATTAGCGTAACATCATATGGTACAGAATATACCCTTTGGCCAGTTTGGGTCAGCTGTCCTGGGTATGCTCCCTCCCAGCTTCTTGTGCACCTCCTCGTTAGCAGAGCACGGGAAGCTGAAAAGTCCTTGACTTAGTATAAGCATTACTTAGCAACAAGTAAAACATCAGTGTGTTATCAACATTATTCTCATACTAAATCCAAAACATAGTACAATACCAGCTACTGGGAAGAAAATTTGACTCTATCCCAGCTGAATCCAGGACACAAAATTTGAGTCCAACTTCCCAAGAGCACATACACCTTTGCTGGCAGCCCCATGCATATCTACTGGGACAAGAGTAGCTTCATAGTGTCCGCTACTTAAAAGAACAGCAGTTACAAAGAGAACTACCCACTAACATCAGTCTTCACTTTTATCTTCAAACAACAGATGGTGTTAATCTGGACCTTTGCATTCCTGAAAGTGCTGGGATCATGAAGCAGCTTGCTTCCAACAGGACCCTGAAACACAATGTAATGCTAGGGAAAATGGTCAAAATGAATGATCAGAGCAAAATAGGCCTGCCGTTAAACAGACTTTGAGTGAAATTCTTATCTTTTCACAAGACAAGACAGCACACAGATAACAGTTGTGGGTCTCATTCTGCTTTCAGTCACTTTGCCTAAACCAGGAGTAGCTCATGTGAGTCCCTGTAATCTGCAGTAGCTTCAGTGACTGATAGGCGTTATGACAGGATAAGACTAATAAGATCACAATTGTGTTCATATGCCAATTTTACACTGGAATAAGTATGCAGTGCTCTGCAACTAGGTCACATTTCAGCAGAGTGACTTCAGATTTACTTCACTGTTACCGAGATCAGAATTGGTAACTGCCTGGGATGAAAAGTTAAGGTGACACTGAGGCAATTTCTTTTGTATTTCATGTGGGGAAAGCTAAAATAAATAGCATGAAAGGCCCCCACATTATTAGCTAGTGTGTTTGAAAGAATCCTGCCGTTGGGTTTTATCTTTTCTTAACTGCAAGCCAGAACATTTAAGATTTAATTATTTAGAGAAAGGGGAGGGGAAGTGTGCCTTTTGAAGAAAGTCCCACAAGTTTCCAAACACTTCAATATTTCATCGTGGCAATCAGCCAGATGCCAAACAAAATGCTGCTTTCCACCAGGGATCTGACAGGTGGCCTTTCCAAAGTTTACACACTGAAGTGAGAGCTGATGTTCTGCTGCTTATTTTTCTGCCTTTTAAGTTATTCCTTTATTGAAGCCAGACTGCAGACCTCTTTCCACGTAACAAAAGATAAAATCTTTCTCTGAATATTTGGGGATTTTAGTGTGCTTTTATTTTATCCATATCTACTCAGGGCATTAGTATTCATGTGTTCAGATGAACAAATGTTGGGCTGGCAAGAGAGAGAAACACATACATATGTGGGCAAAAGATAAGCTATTTGAAGCTTCACTGATAACACAGAGCCAGATACAACTGAGGTACAACCGAGGGAAAAATCCTACCTTTCCCTCAGGGTGCGCCCGCTGTCTCTGTCCGGGAAGAAGGCTGGCATCTCGGCCCCGCTCATCTCATCCGCTGGCTCATCCTCTGGAGCAGCTCCACCCGGCTCCCTCTGCCTGGGGCTCTCCATCTGCCAGCCATCGAACACCCAAAGAGGCACCTTCGGGGAGAAGCAAGCACAGTCTGTGGTTGCATTCCACTTCTGTTTCCCTCCTTTCTCTCTTCTTTCTCTCAGCTGTCCTAGGGCTATCAAGTGTCTCCTCATAATTTTCTGGATGCTTTTGGAAAATCTCTAAATCGAGAAAATATCAGGAGAGACAAAGTGCAGGGGAAACATGCAAGCGTGATAGCTCTAGGTTCTACATCTCACTTTGCTTGCTCCCTTCATGTGCTCCCTCATTCCTACAAATACCTGGGAAGGCCCAGGTGAACGGATGAGGGCAACCACAAATTATTCTGTAGCAACAAATCTCTTGAAGAAACAAGAACCATGACTGATTCAATGGAATTGCTCATGACTGATAGCTAGGTTAATAAGGCTCATGTCTGACTCAGTTTAACTCACTTTCTGGGACCAGATTCTTACAGTCCACAAGAGAAGACTTAGGGCGTGCCCTTGCCCACATTTATGTCCTATTTGGCCATCATGAAGCCAAAGGAAAGGTGAGCTATATTAGATAATGCAGTATGTAACCAAAAATTGTCAGTGTTTAAGAGGGAGATTCTCGCAAAGAAAGGTGTAAGTCCTGATCAAAAGTTTTCCTTACTGTTGGCAAGCAGCAGCAGGGGATCTTTCCCCCTGTTACGTTTCTGTTCCTATACTGCACTCTGCACCATAGCACCTGAGCAGTTTCTGAAATCTTCCCATGCGACTAACATCTGGCCCATACCGTCTGTTTGCTCACCATTCTCCAGGGAAGAGAGATGTGAGCAGTGCAATGTCTTTTTTTTTGGTGGGGATTATTTTAAATTTTTGTCGTGCACATTGATACGTGTTTATACTACAGAAGACAAGGTCGAAGAAGGAGCTTTACGCTTGAAGCAGGCAGGCAGACAGTGCTAAGTCTGTGCAGGACCTCAGCTCTCAGGGGATTTTATTCCACTGGTTGAGAACAGCACACATGAGCCTTATTTTTATGGAGGAGAGTCCTCTTCTGCCAAATGGGCAAGGTTGTAGCCCATAGCATTTCTCTTATTTACAAGTATGTGTGTGTATAAATACAATAAAAGTCTAGACATCAGTCAGGAGTGCTTTAAAATGATGCTAGTGCTGGAGTTGTTTTACTACGCCAGAATGCTGTAAAGGGACCTTTCCAATAAAAAAATGAAAAATCAAAATATATGAGTAAGTATGCCAATGGACATATTTAAAGAGCAAGTATGCCAATGGACATGTTTTCTACATGCTAGGAGTATTTTGTGTAGAGCCAGATGACAGAATAAAATCCTCTTGTCCCTGAACATTCAAAATAAGCCAAGGAGAAATGAAAATATGGCACCATCTTGCTGAATTGTTCATTTTTGGTCATAATCCTCATGTTTTGACCAGTCCTTTCCATCCAGCCCTTTGCTTTCCAAAAATCAGAGAAGGGTACCATTGAATTTGTCTGCACGACTAAGAAAGTCTTCCATGTGGCTGAAGGGGAACTACACTTCAGCATCACACATTTGTTGAAGATCTCAGCTTCCATCCATTCATGACAACAGCAAAACAACCACTGATTTCAGTCGTGCAGCTCGAGCACATTGCAAAATAAGCATAAAATTATTTACAATTGTTAGCAACATTCCACAGTACTTAGAGCAGGCAGAGAAATGCTTGAACTCCTCTGTGAGTAGTAAATAAGCCGATATGCTCTTCCATCTCTCCTCCCACCCCACCCTTTAAGAACAGTAAAAAAAAAAGAGAAGAAATGTAATAAAAGCAACTCAACAAAGCAGGCAATTCCTTAGGAATTTTCTTGTATTCAAAATCTCTTTGAAATTATCCAGCAACTAAACCACAGGCCCCCTCATCCTTTTGGTCCTGCAAAACAGCAACATAGGGTCTTCTGTGCTCAGATGCGGTAATTACAGGCAACACACACAAAGAAAAGCAAATAAAACAACTTCAGTTGCCAAAGCCAAACATGCAACTGTGTATCTATAAAGGTAATTGCAAACCAAAAGATCAGTTGTGGTTCTTGTTTCTTCAAATTACCATTTTGCCCTGAAGAAAAACAATTATTATGTAAGTAATCCTAATAATTTTAACATTTGTTTTGCATATCAGCATCAAATCTGAATGCCCTTCTTTTCTGAGGCATCTGAAGTGTGTACTCAGAGCCAAACTTTATATCTCTGACTAATTTCTAATTCAGGAAAGCCTTGGTCTGAAACCCATCGGTGGCAATGGAAAGAACCCATAGAGCTTTCCACTGCTGATTCAGATTTGTTTTTTTACTCTTCTTATTGATTTTTATGTCACAAGCCTCTCTTGCCAATAGGCACGGTGAGCATAAGGAGCAGGAAGCTGAGGGACCCCAGAGAGAGGCAGATATCAAAAGCTGACATATCTTACTGTGGCTTTTCAGTTTTGCTGTTGATATATACAAAATTGCTTTACTTGTTGGTATTCACAGTAAAGCATCTGTTCAATAGTTTTGTCTACAGCAGTAGCCCAAATCTTTGTAGAATGACATCTAGTTACTACCTTCTAGTGCAGGCTGATCCTGCAGTGGATCTC